ACGAAAATTATAATTTTATCTAAGAAATTAAAAAAAAATTAAAAAAAAGTTTAACAACAAAATGTTACTTACTCTACACGATCTCTATAGCTTATTATAGACACGAATTACATGATTATTATTTTTGTCCTTGGGGTAAATTTTTAATCATTTTTCAGATAATGTTCGTTCTACATCAGTTTTCAAAAGTTTGTCCGAATAATAATCTCTATTGTTGAGTATATCCTCAATATCGGCTTTGAAATCGTCAAAATCTATTTTTGGTACAAGTCTTATCAGGTTATCATTGTTTGAATTAACCATATGATTAATACCCCAAATTCACCTTTTTTTTTCTATTTATAAAATTAATTATAATTAATATCGGCAACCCGATATTTCTATAAAAAAAACTTAACAACCTTAACACCTACTTCAGATCATTGTCTATTTACACCTTTTCATTTTTTATCAGCCTTAGATTTTTCAGGATCCTGATTTATAGTATTTTTTTCACGTTAATGATGATGAAGTTGCTGAAGAATGTACTTAAGTTCAGTATCCTTATACCTAAACCGACCCTCCAAAGCCAACTTGATTGCTGGTATGGTTTTTTTAAACATATGCCGACTAATATCCGTCTATTTTTTAGTTGGATCGAGTTGAAGAGTATCATCTAGACTAGATAAAATATTAATTACTTCATTCTATTAAGTAAAATAAAATAATAATGATAATAATAGTAAAAATTAAGATAATATTAGTATTTTGACTATATAGCAAACATGTATTGTATAGTTTATAAAGTATATATGTAAAAATACCCTAATTGATTATCAAAATTATGTAATATACAACTAATAAATTATGTATGTATGTATTGTAACCAATAAATTATGTGTATTGTGTAAGACGTAATCTGGTCGGCATCAAGCAAAAATCTATCATTGGGGTTTTAAACTCAGACACATTATCTGATGTATCAAATCCAATACAATATACAATAATGGCAAACTGTTAATCCCGTAGCATATGATAAATTAATGATACATAAAGAATACTCTCATATGTATATATCGATAACATGAATTGAACTTTTTTTTCATCTATGATAAATTAATGATGCATAAAGAATACTCTCATATATATATATATCGATAACTTGAATTAAACTTTTTTTTTATCTTTTAAAATAAATAATTAATTACTCAATGGCTTCTAATTCGGATTCGAATATCGAAGAAAATTATAATTTAAAAACTGGAATTACAGAAGAGTTTTCAGATTTAGACGTTGATGAGTATGATGAATCATGGTTTAATAAAGATTTAGATCTAAATACGGTAATTAAATTTATCTAATATTATTAGGGTAAAATAAAAAATTTGGCAATACAAGACCTTCAACCTAAATTGGGAATTGCAAGCATTATATTAAGGTTATAAAATTAATATCAATATTACCAAATTAAAGTATGAATATTACCAAAATAATTATGTTGCAAAACTTTCTTGGCTTGCTTTAGAGCAATGATTAGTTTGAAGGTCATTGCATTGTCAAATTTTTGTATTATTTTTTTATTTGTAAATACTTATAGTTTTTTTGCATAGAGTGATATAAGCGATGCAAGCAATAATCAAGATTTACAAGAGATAGCATTTTTTACCAAAAAATTGCACGTAAATCAAATTATCCATAATGCATTACTTGTGGAATATCCGGCAACATCTGAAGATAAAATTGCAACTATCTATAATGTAAATAATTTTTTAGTATTGCTTAATTTTATAATATGATATATATTTAATTTTTATATTTTTTTTATTTTAAAAATTCAGTATTCAATTAATGGTCGTGGTGGTGCTACTGCTATTCAAGATTGTTTCTATTTTGGGAATATTTCTGTTAAAAAGGATGAGTGACGATGTCAAGGAATTAAATATTGTGAATATAGTAATTCTGTCTATATTAATATATCACATAACAGTGTTGATGTTGATTTGGATCTTTATCATTAAATTGTTACTGATCAAGAAATAAATAATAAAAAAATAAAAACATACACATAAGTTTTATAAAAATTATTTTTTTTAAAATTATTATAATTTAAACTAATTTATTTTTTAGAATATATTTAGCATCATTGGAATCAAAATGCAAATTTCAACAGAATGTAATTAGTTGTTCTGGTAGTGCTAAACTTGAAAAAATTGTAAATTACTCAGCAAATATAACATCGTATTTTATTGGATGCACTAAATATTGGAAAAATGAAAAATGACATCATTTTATTAAAGTTAATTTGGATGAAATTGACCTACCATTATTAAAAAAGTTATTTATGGGCGAACAAATTGATAATAATAATCAAATTAATTGCACTTCTATTATTTCATGAAGTTGTAAATGAAAACAATATGGTAAGCTTTAAATTTATACTTTATGTACTGTTTATATATATTTAATTAAGTTAAGTTTAATTATTTTTAGAATATCCTCATATTAAAAATGGACAAGTTACTCAAGAAAATATTATTGAAAAACCATGTTCTGTGTGGTTTATTAAAATTATTTCATCTGATATATCAAGTTGTCCTTTTGTTGCACTTATTTGTATTGGAACTCATGAACATCCACCACCACCACCAGAAAAAATACCTGCAAATATAAAAAATTCATTACACAATTTGATTAAACAAGCAATTAGTAATAATGAAACTTTAACTCCAAGTTTATTTACTGCAGGTAGTAGTCTATATTAATTATTATTATATTATATTTAATTTAATTTAATTTTAACTATATAATTGATTTTATTTTAAGAAAATCTTGTTAAAGCATCATTTAATACAGAAATTCTAAATCAAATTCATGTTTCACTCAATAATGTCGATTGATTACGATATTTAATCAACAAAGCTTATAAAGAATTATATCCATTTGGGCAAAGTATTATGGGTGTATAGTATAATGTGTCACAAAAAATAACTAATTTATATAAATATGTTTAAAAAATTAGTATGTATATATTTAAGCATATAATAATATTACTATATATATATTATTACTAATAATTTTTAGAATTTTTTCAAAATGGCCAAGTTATAATTATTTGCATTTTACCAGAATTAACTCATATGCTACAAAAATTGGCTTTTTTTCAAATTGATATTAGTTACAAAAGGGTCAAAGAATTAATTAATGAATTTGAATATAATTCTTATAATCAAGAACATAAATTAAATAAGTTTATATTTAAATTATTTTATTATCATATATTTATTAATATAAATTATATACTAAAAATATATAATTTTTTGCTTATAAATAAAGTTATGTCTTATTGCCGAATTTTTACTAATGTATTTACTGCAGAGGGATATAAACAATTATTCCAAACTTTATTTCAAGTACCGTATATTACCGAATAGAAGCTACCCCCGAATAGAAGCTACCCCTCGATTTTGGATCCAAAAATCTGAAAACGGTTACTATGTTTTAATAGTAAAATTAGACCTGAATAGAAGCTACCCCTGCAGTTTAGCCTAAGAAAATTGAAGAAAATCGAAAATTTTTTGGTAGCTTCTATTCGGTAATATACGGTAATTAAAGAAATTACAGGTGAATATGTTAAAATTTATCATAATCATAATGAGAGATGGGCTTGTATTTTAGCAGATTTAGATCTTGCCCAAGCAAAGAGATTGGGATTAGCTTTGGAAGAAATTGATAATTCAAAGGACTGGAGTACACATCTTTTATATATATTTAAATCATGTTTAATTCATTATAATCGGTAAATAATTTTATTAAATTTTTAATTTATATTATGATATAATTATAATTAATATATTTATTATATATTTATTTATAGAAATATTCAAAATAAAAATTTTACTACATTTGCAAAAAATTTAATGTATTCAATTCCTTACTGTGAAGATGAAGCAACAATACTTAATATTTTCAATCAATTATCAAATTTGAATGAAGATAAAATACAAGGTATATATTTATTATATATATATATATTTACACACATACATAATTAATTTATTTATATTTATATTTATATTTTAGAATGGGTTGACTATTATTGCATCCCTTATATTATTGGCTCTTTAAATTATCATTGTTCAAAAATTGATCATATTACTTGGACTCAAGCTGGAAATAATACAAATGCCGCCAAAGTAGCTCATGCTTATGCAAATCGTTTTGGAAAACAATTAAAGTTACTTTCAGCAATTAACTGGCATGTAATTTAATTATTATATTATTATTATAATTATTAAATTTATTAAATTTATTAAATAATCTTAATTTTATTATTTATAATTATAGGGGAAGAAAGCTTGATGAAACTACTATTAGTTGAATAGATATACATAAAAAATTTGGTATCCCAGTTACTCAACATGATAATGGAGAAATTAAATGTAAAGCAGCTGCAATGACTTGTAAATCAGCAATTACAACACGTAAAAGTATATATATTTTATATTAAAGTATTATATAAATTATTTATTAATTTATTATTTAAATTGTGATAGAAAACAAGTCATATCCAAAAAAAAATTTATCAAAAAAGTCTCAAAGTAAACCTATAATCATTTCTGATTCGGAAACAGAAGCAGTCTCAAATAAAAAACCCAAAATTAAATTAGAATCAAATAACTTGAATGAATTAGAAATTGAAGAATGAAAAATAATGCTTAAAGAACATACTATTGCTATCCATGAGAAAGAACTTGATATTCGAAAAAAAGAAGCTGAGATAGAGGCTTTAGAATTAGCCAATAAAAAAATAAAAAATGAATTAGAATATATCTAATCAAGCGTAATATAGCCAATTAAATGCTTCATGTGCTAAAGTAAAAATTGCTGTATGCTAATAGCACTCGAATATTAAATCTTAAGTTGCTTTAAAAAAAATATGTATGCTAATGGAACTCAAACAATTACATTTTAAATTGCTTTAAGAAAATATGTAATGTATAGTTATTAAAATATGTATATATAATTAATTTAATTTTTTATCATACAACTATACAAACAGCGGTGTATGCTATATACATACAAGTCTATACTATACATATTTTTGTAATACCCTAGTATTTTAAAATAAAAAAAAACAAATAAAATAATTATTAATGATAATAACTATTATATTCACACATATGGAAGAGCTTATATTGTTCAGATGACATTTCTTCCAGAATTTCACGTGATTTTCTAGTATATTCGGCAGAAGGTTCAAGAGAGACAGAAAGTCTTCAATTTTTTGCCGGGACGTTACAAAAACTTTTCTTTTTTTTACCCATTTTTTTACTAGGGCCGGTAGAGGTAACAGTATCATCCTTTCTATTAGTTACAACAACATTAGTTACAACAGATTCACCATGATCATCATAATTATTAATATTATTGTCTAAAAGATCCATATCATTTATTGTAAATGACAACCTAGATGACCGTAATGCACCAATATCATCAACGTCAATAGGTGTTGGTAGATTATTTTGTGTTGGGGTTGGTGGATTATTTGATGTGTTTGATTTTAATTTAGTAACTTCGTTAATTAAACTTTCTACAGTGTTTTTTAAGAGAGAGATTTCTATTAATGTATAAAATTTTTGTTAGACATATCAGTAAGTCAATAGTTCGATTATAATTACATATACATATATAGTTACATTTATCTTTTTCATTGGGACTTCTAGAACGACGGGGAGAACGTTCATCAGTTGGAGAAGGTGATCTTTGATGTGACTTTCGTTATCTCGGTGTGAATGACGAGATAGTGTTACTTGATTGATGGTTGTTTCAGTGAGGTGGTGTTACTGATCGACAGTTGTTTTGGCGAGATGGTGTTACTGATTGACAGTTTCGAAGAGCTGGTGTTGCTGATTGTTGCCGTTGTTAAGACCTACGATAAGGTGTTAATGATTGAAATGGCGTATTTCAAGCTGACATGGAAGGTGAAACCGAACGTCAACTTGAAACAATGCTGATTCTGTAAGAGCTTCTACCACGCATTTTTCAAAAAAAAAAATTCAAAAAAAAAAATAGAAAGAAAATTGAGTAAGTAAAAGCAATTGCAAGTAACCAAAAAAATGAAAAAGGAAATCAATTTGGTTATCGGATATTTGGTATTTAGTAGAGAGAAAAAAGAAAGACAATTGTAAGTATCCAAAAAAAAAAAAAGAAAATCAATTGGGTTATCGGGTATTCGGTATTTAGTTGAAAAAAAAAGAAAAGTGATTATGTATATCCAAAAAAACAAAAAGAAGAGTTATCGGGATTTGGAGAAAAAAAGATAATCGATTATAAATATCCAAAAAAACAAAGAGAAAAAAAAGAAAAGAATTTATGAAAAACAATTGGATTATCGGATATTTGGTATTTAAATTGAAAGAAAAAAGAGACAAGAAAAAGCAATTTATTTATATTAATTTTACCTATTACTACTAATCATGCTTTCGTTTAATATATTAGTATATAAAAGTATAATGACAGTTATAGAAAAGATTTTTTCGAGCGAAGCGAAAAAGTCAAAAAATGTCATTAAAAAAAGAATAATGCGAAAGAGTCAAATTTGCAAACATATGATAAAAAGAATGAATGATCTATTAATAATTTTTACAGTCAGGTTGAATTTTTGGAAGTTGAATGATTTCATCTTTGATTGCATACAACGTACTTTAAAATGCGTTGTTAATTCTTAATTTAATATCAGAATAAAATTTACAGTCAGATAAATTGTATAAAGTAAATATATATTATTATGTAATTTAAAAATTATGCAATTTGCAAATAATTGCTGATAACTCTATATAGATATATATATATTATTATGTAATTTAGAAATAAAATTTATATTATACAATTTACAAATAATTGATTAAACAAATGAAAGACCAATTGGTATACTGTATAGCTAGTTCTAATCATTAAAAACATCAAAACGAAAGTTTAATTTCACTGATAAAACTAGCAAAATAGAATTCTAATAATGTTTTCATTATGCAGTTTTAACTTTATAGTTGTTAATTCGAATCACTAAAATGTCAAACCAAAAAAAGTATATAGCTATATAAAATATATAGAAAGAACTATCGGCAGATCTATATGAAATTTTAACACCGACAATGTAAACAAAAGTATAATTGACAAAAAGAGAGTTTAATTGTCAAAACAAAGAGTATAAAATTTATTTAATAAATATTAAACAAAAAAATATATGGTTAAAACTATAGATATAAAATATATAGAAAGAACTATCAGCAGGTCTATATAAAATTTTAACACCAACAATTTAAACAAAAGTATAATTGACAAAAAGAGAGTTTAATTATTCAAACAAAGAGCATAAAATTTATTTGATAAATACTAAACAAAAAAATATATAGCTAAAACTTTAGATATAAAAATATAAAGAAAAATCTATCGGCGTGTCTATATGAATTTTAATACTGACGATGTAAGCAAAAGTATAATTGTTAAAAAGAAAGTTTAATTGTCAAAACAAAGAGTATAAAGTTTATTCAGAAAAGCCTATAAGTCATATCGGCAATTCAAATTTTCTTAAGAATTCAGATTATATATAAATAAAGCTTTCTTTCTAATTCGTTCACAAATAAATTCTTTTATATCCATTTTCTCTCGCTCATTCATACATTATATTATTTGTATATTCCACTTAAAATTTTTTTGGTTATAATGGTTTACAAAAAAAAGAGTTGGATAGTTAAAAAAACAATTGAAAAAGTTAACAAATCTAAACCTTTAAAAAATTATCTTCCTGAACCTTGTTACTGTAACACATGCAATAGTAACCTTGTTGATCCAAGAACTAAAAAAGCCCATATGGCTAAAAATGATATTGCAGAAAGAAATCTTCATGAAGTTGGTGAACCTTCAACAAGTAAAGCTGCCATAGTAGACCTTCTGGAAATGGAATTTCCACAAGTGGAAATTCCAGAAGAGCATATGCAAGTTGACAGTAGCTCTGATAATGATTCTGAAATTTCTTATGAAGCAAGTTACAGTTTCATTACCAAAAGTCAATCTAAAAAAGGGAAGAAACCAATTTACATCAGAGGAAGAAGAGCACCAATACCCACTCAATTAATTGAAACCATGTTTTCAGATGATGAAGATGATAATTATGTGGTTGAAGATCATTATGAAAATTCAACTGAACAAGAAATTGATTTTAATACACCAGACGATAATCCATATGAAGATATAGATATATCTTATAAACCTATAGACTTTATTATAGGTTTCACATGGATAATTATATGGATTCTCAAGTTTCAACAGAGGTTCCGGATTTCTGATATATCAACCAATGCTTTAATAAAATTCTTCGGTATCTCTTGCTTCTTCAAGACGCAGTTGCATATGCTTCTTTTCCAACTAGTTTAGGTATGGCACATAAAGTACTTGGAGTTTGTGCTCACATGGTCAAGTATGCAACATGTGAGAAATGTTGTAAGCTATATAATGTTGCCGATGTGTCAACCAAAAAACCTGATACAGCATCTAAAATTAGCCATTGCACTGTCTAAGATCTTCCGAATCACCCAATGTCAAATCAAAGGCATTCTTGTAATTCACCCATTACTAAAAAAATACATATATCAGAAGGTATTTACTATAAAGAATTGATTTTTTTGATTTTTGTTGAAAAAAATATTATTTTGACTAATTTTATTGTAAATTTTTTTGCAAAAAATTTACAATAAAATTAGTCAAAATAATATTTTTTACACAATAATTTTTTTATAATTAAACAATTAAAATTTGTTTTTTATAGGGATTATTTATAAACCGGTGCTAATTTTCCCTACTATATCTTTGGCAAACCAACTAAAGTTGTTATATAATAAAGAGGGGTTTGAGTACTCTTGCAGAAAGTGGGTTGGAAGGTTGGTCGATCCTAATTTAGTGATCGACATTTATGATGGAAGAATTTGGAAAACCTTCCAGAATCTAAATGAAAATTTGCCATTTTTCTGGAATGATGTATCGGATTGTCATCTAGGGATAATGTTAAATATAGATTGGTTCCAGCCTTTCAACAATTCACAATATAGGTATAGTATAAGTTTCAATTAGTCTATTGTCTTTTTAAATTAAGTTTTTTTTTTTGTATTGTCTCTTTAATTTATAAATTGATTTCTTTTTTTTTTTTATTGTATTATATCTTTAAATTATAAATTGATTTCTTTTTTTTTATTATCTCTTTAAATTTCTTTTTTTTTCAGTGTCGGAGCCATCTACGGTGTAATTTGCAACCTTTCACATGATGAGTGATTCAAGCTATCGAATATTCTAACGTTAGCATTGATTCCTGGGCCAAAAGAACCAAAATTACATCAATTAAACCATTTTTTGGCTCCTCTAGTCGATCAGTTGATAGGTTTATTTGATGGTATTAGACTATCAAGTACCTTTGAAAGCCCTACAGGCAAATCCATTAGAGCAGCAATAATATACTGTTCTAGTAATATACTAGCTGCAAGAAAGTTGTGTGGGTTTATTTTGGCCTGAATAGCTTGCCATAGGTGCTTGAAGAGTGCAAGTTATGATCATAGGAATTAACCAAATTTTGGTGAGTGTTTGAAATGTTTAATTGAAAATGTGAGGTTTTATATTGTTAAAAGATCATTAAGATATATAATCTAAATAAAAACT